CATTTGTCGGGCAAACGAAGGTAACTAGGAAAGCAATGAAAATATTCCCTGACCTTCATCGTTCACGCCCGGTATGACTATGTTCAGTGCCTGCTTTCGAGGACTTCCGACCACGCTTGATCCCTCTGACAGCTCGTCGTTGTGCACTGAAAGATGACATGAATTGCACGATATGGAAACTAAATGCTATGCATAAGCTAAACAGAACAGCTACACGTAATCGATTGAAGAAAAAACCCACCACTCGCATCAAACGCCCCACCTTGGGATATCTCTGCTAATAATTTTGTGCAAACTTCAATCATCTGTAACTCAAGGTTGTTATAATAGTGAACAAACGAACTGGCTCAAAAAATATAAATACCATTAGCAAAGCCGAGTTATCCACGCAAACAAGCTTCTGTTCGGTATGAAGGCCGTTCAGAATCCGTCGCAATAACTTCGGCAGAAACTGCGCACGCAGAGCAGGATCCCCGTCAAGGTTACAAGTTTCCAAGCAAAATACAACGACCTAAATAATGTTCAGAGTGGAAATGACTCCAGGTTATCAATAGGCAAAATGATGTTCATCGAAGAGAGAGATTTCTCTATAGGATTGTGATCTACCGGAAAGCACAAGGTAAAATTAAAAGGAAGAAGAAGTACCTTGGCGAACTGTGATATATCCTCAGAATTTGGATCGCTTTGAGCAACAAGATCCGCGAACCAGTTACCCAGAAAGTCGAACAGAAATCCTGTTTCCAGCGAATTCAACAGAAGGTTGAGCGTCTTCGAAATTTCGTCGAGACGTCGCTCCTGAGAACAGTTCAATTATGAGGCAGCTAATGGTGACAAGTGCGAAATGGGCTGATCAGCCACGTTTGGCAGTGAAAAATTTCTGGTTGAAGTTTGACTCAAGGAAAAGAATGACAAACAGTACTTCGGAAGGAAACAACGATGCTTCAAGACTAAAAAAAAATCGTAATTCATGAAAAAGAGAGAAAAAAAGAAAGCCAGTTGAAACCCACTTTACTTCCTTACGAGGTATTTCTCTGATGAGAAAGAAAAGATTGGAAGTTTAGCATTGAAATTATACAATTTTGGGCAAACAATTAGGCATGTTAACTAAAATCGACCTGTTCCTTCACTTTGTCGTCTTCTGCTTCCGCATTTGACAAACGAGAATTAGAAGGGCTCTTTTTCAAGTCCAGCGATAGTCGCAGATGGTTACGATCCAAACTGGTATCGGAATCTTTCTGAAATGAACTTAAACTTAACACTGCATAAACAAAGATACGTTACTGTACACCATAAGTTAATCCACGATGGAGAAGGCGTGACGAGTATCATGCAAAAAAACTTACATTTTCTTTGACCTGGTCACTTTCTGTCGTCAAGCGTTCGTGGACGTTTGATACACATTTCAAAAACAGTGGAAAAACTTTATTGAGAACAGGTCCGCCAATATCAGCGCGATCTTGAAGATACAGCAACAGTCGGCAAACTCGCACTTCAGCGAATTGATGTTGCTCACTCTCCTAAACAGTTCCATCATAAAAATAAATTTCATTACCTCTACCAAAAAATAGTATTAAACGAAATTTGTCATTACCCGCTGTCCTCCCCATCCATGCGCCCAAGCATTCGTTGATGACTGAGGGATTTCAATAACATCGAGTTTGAGATATTCAGTTAGCGCTTCCACAATGAGTGGTAGAACTTTGTCAATGAAGAACGTAGACTCCACTCCCTCATCACCAACAGGTATGCTACTGATGGCTACGTTCCCACCTGAAACAACGCATTCAGTTAGAAGCACCAGGACCCACTTAGATATCGCCAGCTACAAACGCCCGAAGAAGGCACAGCAGCACCTTCAAGATGTCAAGATAACGCGGTTGTATGCCAACTCAAAGCTAATTTGAATTATAGGGGGACCATTTTATGGCAGGGCAAAAACGACAAGCAAATTCGAGCCGGCTCATTTTCTGAAACCAGGCTAACTGGAGGGCATTGCTGGTTTAAGAATCTATAATGACGAAAAGCTCAGATGAGGATCAGAAATGGCATTTTCGGCCGTTCTAACTTAGTTTTGGACCGCCAATATTAGTAACACTATCTCATAATATAATGTAATAACTCAGGATCACAAAAAATTTTGTAGAGCGGAAGTGTTTCAAAAACAACAGAAGCCACTCAAGGTGCACTAGGCCCAGGAGTCAAATCCCATATCGGCTCTTAGAGTCAATGGAGCTACCCATCCCTTCGAGACTAACAAATGGGTCCCAGATTCGCCCGAGGACAGAGACACTGACTTTGACTTCGGCTTAGCACCGCAAGTCATTAGATCTTATCGCATTCGAATGCCACTGCGATTCTGACTAGAAAATGGGATGTAAAAAGTGACTCATCAATGGCGAAAGTTTTATTCTTCATGCTCCTTTGAAGCAGCAAAGTTTCGCAGTGTTCTGGCAACCATTACATTACTGCAATATTTTCAGCGTAGGCTGTGACATGGTTAGCGGTCTTGAGCTAGTCTCACTTGACCTCTCTAACGACGGATCAGGACTGCCTCGGTGTTCCTTTCCTTCCACCTTTTTTATTAAGCTCAGCAGTCTTTTTCTTTTCACAGATATACAAACTCGAAGATGCAATGTTAGAGTGGAAGCGGGTGCCGTGCGAGTTTCTTCACCATTCCCTCCCGATAGATACTTAAAGAGCAACTTTACTTTTTGGAATAGCTTGTTACTGGTACTTGCGTCAAGAAAACCGAAAACGAAGCTAGATGGCGATTCAAAGAGTCCGACAAAAAAGCATGCAACTTTGGCTTGTTCCGAAGTTTTCGCTAAAGCGCCATGTCTCATGAACGTCTTGACTGTTTTCTCACAAAATAAGCTACCTCATTTAGTAGAAACCACTGTCGCCGACAAAAACTACCTTCTAAAGAGCCTTACATACCTGTAGGGTTCATTAACCAGGTGTAAAGACGCCTGTTCAAAGACATATCACGTCGTAACACAACGAAAATACATCGCATTAACAACTGAAAACACAGCATTGCTGATTGAGCTTCTGCGGAATCACTACAAATTGAGAGCAAGAATATATACCTGCACAAAATCCTCTCTTGTTAGATTGGTGCTGTCAAGAGGAAACGCTGCACACAAGAAATCTAACAAGTTCCGTTGAACTAACGGTGAGCCAGTATCGCTTGCAGTCGCGCAAAGTGCGGCAACCTGAACAATGCTTTGAAGCGACCCAAAACCCTCCTTTGTGGACTGCTACTTATCACGTGTGATAGTACAAACTTTTAAGCGGACATTGCTGGGGCGGGGAATTGTTGCCAACATCACTGGTGGAAGGGCTGCAAGAGGGCGCTTGGCCACATTCCACTCACTCCTTCCACCAATGACGTTGGCGCCAACCGCCCACCCTCAGCGATGGCGCCCACTGTCTTTGCCAGCAATAAAGTATCACTTTACCATATGATTCACGTGGTCGCCAACAATTGCGATTTGATCATCAAGCGTTCGCGTCTTGTCAAACTTCGCGTTTACATACAGCATTGCTGGCAATCGGACAGATGGAGAGCCGAGGACGGCTTGCCAAAGGCATGCGAAGAAAGCACGCTCTCCAACACCCTCGCAAACACGATCGAGTACGGATAGCGACCTGAAATCACAAAACCCTGAAGTTTTCATCGCATTCATGAAGCCTCTCGCAAAATTTCCATTCTCGCAGCCTTCCCTTATTTACATTCGCCTCATCACTTATCTTCCCCTTAGTGGATCCACTTGCTTATCGATCTACTTATCTCGCCTTCAATCTGGCTCATTTCTCTTCAGCAATGATTGGAAGCAACAAAAAAAGCACTTTTCGATAAGACCCTTCAGGCACTTAGAAAAGTGACGCGGCCTCCGTTCTCCCGATAAAAATAACGACTCCGCCTCTGAACTTGTGGGTCGGAAAAAATATGAGTTTAGAAGATAAAAAACTCAATATGCAAAAAAATAGGGTCAAGGAGCCCGAAGGAGGAGCATAACATCTAAGTAATACTTGTAGTTTAGCCTGCGTTCCGGAAAGTTCTGAGGAATTTCAATCATTTCATTGAACATGTATCAACAACAAAAGAGATAGGAAATCATAGATATAATAAACATTGTGCATCCCATTTCGTTACCTTTTGAGCGGTCACCTTGCGTGGGAGCTAGAATGAAGTGAGTATCGAAAAGGCGGGAGCGTAGGCAACATAGCTAAACTTCCACATCGAAAAGCGAACGAACTCGTACTGAAGGCAGTTTTGTTTTCGTGATCTCTTGTCTAGAATCGGTGACAGCGCCTCATCCCCGATTTGAGTGGCAGAGCACCCAGAATGGTGAAGGTCAGTGAAAAGGCGCTGTAAGCCGCCAAGCTTGTACATTTTTCTCTCGATGTTAACTCATAAACAATGGTGAATAACACCAACCAGCGTCAAAATTGATCAACGGACACCACTGCTTCTCACGGCGTTCAAGGTACGATTTTGTGCTGGCGCGTTCGCTCGCTAAACTTCTTCAAAATAAAATAGCGGAATTTTCCCACCGCTTCCAGACATGTCGCATCCTGATGCATGCTGTGAGCTGCAGGGTGTAAAGCAGAAAATCTATGACAATTCTTTAGATTTATAGGGTTGCATTACGTTGATCGAAGGATAATCACAAAGTTGATGACTTCTTCTTGACTTTCCTTCGATTCCCTACCCATTCGAACACAACTTAATGGAAGGCATGGGGAAAAACTCTAACGAAATCGAAAACCCAATAGGATGGCGACCATTCAGGCTCCCAAAGGGAATCAATCAAGCTCACCACCACTTTCAATTCTCAAATTTATTCAAACAATTTGTGCCCGCCTTGAGGGAAAAAATGTGGGAGACCACATTGAGTCAGGGTCGCGCTGGATCCGTTGGATCAATCTTAGGAATTTTCATGAAACAGCTAGAGCTCACTGCGGCAAACAATGTGAGAATCAAAGACACTGCGAAACACAAAGACAATAATAAAAGAACCTCTCATAGAACTCTGTGCCCTCCTCGAGACCCAGCAATACTCCGGCCAGAAAACCGGGTAAAGCTGGTTTCAGGTTCTGGCCCAACGGCAAAAGGTATTGCTCGAAAATGTTGAAAAGTTCAGATTTCACCTGGAAACAGTAAGAAGTGTATCTACGAGCATGCTCAGACCCATAGCAAAAAAAAAGAAATTGAAAAGAAAGTCATAACAACGAGCACTTTACCTTTATACCGCAGTGGTCCATCAGTGGGAAAAGACCAACGGCAAACAAGTACAGCAATTTAGGCAAGGATTGTGGACCCAGAATGTCGAATATTTGACGATACGTTTCGAGCGCTTTTAGATGTACACCTACAAGAGCGAAAATTCGAATAAAATAAAGATGAAAAACTAGAATAATTCTGACCCATGGGAAGAGCAGGATGAAGGCACTGTGATAATCGCTTGGCGACAGTAACTGGTTTGGGAATGTCTCCGAATTTGGCATTAGATTGGAATACCTGAACAAAACGAACCACTTGAAAAAATGGTGGGTGCTACAAATAAAACATACAAAAAAGTGAAGCATAAAGGAGAGAGGAAATACATTATGAGGCAGAAGAACATCCGTTCTTTAGGAAACACCTCTTTCTACTTAAGTTGCACTTTACCACTAGATACCTGTCCATCATTTTCCTTCCAATTTCGTCTAATGGTTTTTTCACCGTCTCCTGCACGAGCGTCCAACGTGACAAACGTCCCTTGATATTCTCGTCAGTTTCTTGCCTATTGCTCAACCTATCACACTATGGGGGTGCCACCTGTTGGAGGCACGCCCCGTGCTCATTTGATGTTCAGGCGCCTTCTTTGGACATCGTAATCCTGCCCGCAAGCACGGAACATGCACTTCTTTCGCAGCTCAAAAATACGTGAGGAAAGAGCTACTTTCGCAGTTCAGAAATACGTGAGGAGAGCGCAACCCACTTGCAACGAGAGCTCAGCGCCACCCATTGGAAACGGCGACGCCCAACTTTCATTGCTACCTGAGGGTGGTTGTTCCGCTTTTAACCCTCTCCATTTCGAATGGTGCGAAGGAGGTGATGAGCAGCAGTAGCTGGCACCAACAGCTTGGAGGGGTTGCTCTGCTTTTTTCTTCAATAATATGTTAATCACCATACAGTTATTATTATTTGAGCCATACAATCTACCATTTTCGAACCCGAGGCGTTCTTTTAAGTCAGGAAATGACGTTAAACGTTCAGGTTCATCAGTGTAACAAAGAATCCATGCGCTCTTCTGTCAGTTTCACGGCACTATCTACCCTTTACTGTTCCACTCTTCGACATTCAGATCGCTTTTTTCTAAAATATTTCTAAGCGCTAGACTTGGCCTAATCTTTTTACCAGGTTATCTAACCTTCAATCACTACCATAACATCGACCTGAATAGAAAACACTTTGTGCCCGCGCCACGGGTGCTGGAGCCCGGGATCAGTTTTGGCAGTTTTTGAGGCACCAAGACGCATGTGCCAGGTCATTCCCCGTCAAGAGAAAGAGATATTAGTGTTTACAGGTAAAACCATCTCTTGGAACAAGTTTTCAGCACATTTGGTATTCTTAATTGTTTTGTGGCGCGCGACCGAGGCACCGGCGTTATGTGGAATCGAGCCAAACCAGTGCAATGTTCATGTTCATCAGTTCATAAATCAGAGACTGAATTTCAGCCAGCTTTGCCTCAGTGGGAAAAATGCGATCGAAATTCTGACTGATCTTCGAAAAGTAGACAGCCGAGTGTAAATAGCGCCAATTTTTCTAGTTGTCACGACTCGGTGAAACTTAAGGATTCCAATTAGCAATTACCTTTACCGTGGGAAGGCAATATAACTGTGAAACGCAATAACAAAAAAGATATTTTCTTTGAACGGACCTCTTTGGGTAAACAATGTGTAAATTCAGAGAAAACGATTTTTACGTACCTTGGCTAGTTTGGCAAGTGCTGAGATGAGATCAGCCCATTCGTTAGGATTTTCAAATGTCTTCAAAGCTCGATCGACAGCTTGTACATACACCTTATATTTATTTGTATTGTGTAGAGGATTTGGTGCCGTCACATCGCCAGGAGCAAGTCCTCCTGATGACGACGACATGTGCGGTATTTGAAAATCCCTTAAGATGTGATATCAAAACAGTGCAATGATTTCGATGAATTTTCACAAGATGTATGAAGAAAACGTGCTCGATAAATAACGGCAGCCGAAAGCAATAGAAACGGGTAATCGCGTGAATTACAAAAAAAAATGTCGAAGCAATAAATGACGTCATGCAAGAAAAACTGGTTAACTGTATAGCATCACTCATGAGGAAAAGCAAAAAAAGTCGAAAAGAAGAGAAAAAAATTGGCTGACCTCTTCAGCTTTTTTCTTTTTCTGAACACCATCGATCTGCAACCACCGAATGCCGCCGCCACGACAACCCGGCATGGAAGTGAGTGTGTCGGGTGCCTGTGTTCGGGGGTGCCGCTGATGTTGGTGGCGCTGAGTTTTAGTGTTTGTCACAGTGTTATGAGAATGGAGGGCTCTTCGATCTGTGCTATGGTGCTTGGCGCTCAGAACCGACGACTCAGGTGACTCAATTTCAATAATCGATTCACCCGTCCAAAACCCCGACTGATTCCGATTGTGGCGACGGGTAGTTTCCCGGCGTGAATCGTCGTCGTCATCGACACGGCGCTTGGTCAACATCCAACTATTGTCAGCCAATATGGAGTATGTCACGAAAACGACGATGACAACTACGGCGAAGACCCTTGAAGGGTTACGCATGATCCCGCACGCAAAACCAGATCCCCATCTCCCCCGTAACCGTAGTGGAGATTGAATTCGTGAATTTTTCCATACACCGACACGCACACCTACAAAATGACCCCAAACCGAGCCGGTTTTGCAATTCGTCGGGAAGCGCCGATGCCCCCATCATATACGGTTTTTTGTGCGGGGAACAACCGCCATGAGTAACAACACCTGCAGAAATGCATGGGTAAAGCCTACGAACCAAAGTCCTACTTCTTCACCATTCAACTGATTTACTGAAAGGCGTATGAAGGGTTATGGCGTGTTTAGAAGACCCCTCCAGCTGAACTGAAATCCCGAAGAAGGGAAGTGTTTTTTTTTCGGCACAGGGACCAAGATCCTCGGAAGAAAGAGGGTTTCCTACTATGAACATCGAAGCAGAAGATTGGAGAACAGCGGAACTGATGAAAAGGATCAGATACACAACGATCTGAAGAGAAACAGAAATGCAGAATCGGAATTGGGGATATATAGATCGATATGTGTCTACTCCTTTCGTCAATTCTTCAATTCTGCATTTTTTACAATACGTCAGTCTTCATTGCCGCAAGCCATGGATGCGGCCTCGAGGTACGTTAAAAGACCCCTCCAGCTGAACTGAAATCGCTTAAGAAAAGGAGAAGTTTTTTGATGTAGGGACTTAGATTTTCGAAAGGACACAGATCTTTGGTACTGAAGATGAAAAGTGAATAACCGATTGAAAGAATTGCAGAACTGACCAAAAGCCTAAATATGTATCGATCTGAAGAAGTGCAGAAAAGCAGAATTGAAGTAGGAAATAGATCATTACGTATCTAATTCGTCAATTCTGCGATTCTTCATTTCTTCGGATCGATACACATCTAATCCTTTGCAAATCTTTCCTTGTTAGACCAATTTCGCATTTCTTCAATACGTCAATCTTCACTGTCGCAAGCAACGAATGCGACCTTAGGATACGTTAAAGAGATCCCTTGTGCTAAATTGGAACTGCTGGAATGAAGATATATATTTTTTGCGTTGAAAGGAATCCGGAATTGGTGGATTCAAACAACTTAGGCAGAAGATACCACGAAAAACATAGTTCTGCACAAGGAGTCCTTTGAATGCCCCTCCCTTTCAAAAAATCCCATCCGTTCGAATATATGTCAGACAATTGATTGATTCCTTGCGACAAATTGTGACACATGTTTGTTGTAAAAAGGCCACTGTTCTGCTCTCATTTCTTATTTAATACGTTCGCAACTATTCGCATAAATGCCCCGCCGCTCATTAAAATTCATTAAAGCGCGAGAAGAGCGACAAGGGCAAACTGATTGTCTAAAAAGCCCGTTGGATTCGGCACGAAAATCATCCTAAGCAAAGCGAAGGCAGACCTAGATAATCTGACGTGAATATGAAAGAACGTTTCTCGTGGAAGTCTACCAAATATCAATTACGGGCCTTACCTTTGCATTACTCAGCAATCGGTGCATTTCTTCTACGGGGCTGTGTTTCGGAAGCTCCCGCATAAGTACACCCGTTTCCTATTGAGACCGCTTTTTCCACAAACTGGTTCACTAAGAGCACCACGGGACTAATTCCCTCAGGCTGCGCTCATACTTTGCGACAGCGTTTTCAGCGTTTCGAGCGACTGGGAAAGTACAGGTACTGATCTAGCGCTTTGAGAGCACGCCAGCGTTTCCAGCCTTTCGCGGGCAGTTTAGATCTTCTCGCGGGCAGTCTCTAAAAACGGGGGCAACTTCAATTCAATTCCCTCGGAGTTTGTGTTTTTCTCTGCTCTGTCTCTCTCGTCCGCGTGGCAATCTATAGTCATTGTGACTTCGCAATTCCACCTTTTTCACGTATAACAAGCGGCTCCTCCACCCGGGAGTATCTCCCCTTGAAAAGGCTCGCTTCCTGGCTCCTATAGTTCTTTGCACGTCTCGATTCTTTGGCAGGGATTGTCCTCTATCTGCCTGCGTTCCTTGGTTTCGCAACAGGGCCATGCATAAAAGTCCAAGATGTCACGGAAAAACGCTGTCATACGTCAGATCGATAGCTGCTTTCTTAGTCGCTCAAAACGTTTCCGCAAAGTATAAACGCAGCCTTGGGCACGGGCAAAAATCCTCATATAGCCGGCTAACAATCATTTCTTCATTCCTGTACTGAACGCCCATCAGCCAAAGAAAAAAAGAAGAACGGCGTGACAATGTGGGCTAGAACGAAATCGTAGTTTTACAAAGTCTTACAAGAATTTACAGGTCTCTACAGAATAGCCCAGCACCTTGACAGGCATTAATTAGATACCCCCTAATCGTCGAATAAGTTAATAAAATAGCAAAATAGAAGTCAATATTCTAGAAAGCTAACTTATTCAAGTCAGTAACAAAAACCTGACCACACATTAAGAAGAAGATTGTGTTTACTTTCTAGCCATTATACTGTGAAAGATTGCGCCAGAAATCATTTCAGATTGCAATAAATAATACAATACGGACAAGGAACATCAACGATTACTATTTTGAAGATTCACAGGGCTTTACAGATTTCACGGAACGGTTCGGTCTGTTGAAAGGAGTTTACCAAATTCCCCTTTCAATTGACGAGCGCCAGTATGAAAACTACCCTCAACAAATCGAAGGGAAAGCCTCTGTATATGATCCAACCGGGAGAAATTCGCAATGTAATCAATATTCCGAGGAAGTTGACCTATTTAGTCCGGCCTCAAATCTCGAACAAAGTTCACCATGCATGGAAGATTTGATTGTTCACTGGGCTTCATTTCATTTCAAATTCTGTTCAATAGCAGAATGAAAGCTCCTCCTTTCAAAAGCTTTTGCTGGTAATGTCCCGGGCATGAGCCCTTTTTGGATCAATGATGTGGTCCTACTGCCGAAATCGAATTGAAAGAACGAGGTGTAGCTGGGGCAAATTTTTCAATATCTATGAAAAAAAGAGCCAATGAATAAAGTCTGCAGGAATCAATTAATAGTCAGGAAAGCTATCTTTTTTTTGCAAATTTTCGCTTTGAAGTAGGGATGGCTTGTCAAAATGGGACGGGATGATTCAGGGATAGAATTCCTTCATGTGAGCTTAAACGATAAGAACTGATAAAAGGGAAAGCCAGTCCGACAAATGAGACATCACGTAAGCATTCGGCACGATGATAAGAGCAATGACTCATGAACTGTTGTAGGAGGTTCAACACGAGTCATAAACCCATACGAATAGGAAAAGCAACCCTAAATTAATCATTCCCAGATAGATACCCAACCAAAATCCATTGGGAACAATACGACCGTATTGATTGGGAACAGTTGAGAACGTGATCGTTATTATGAGGCAGGACAAGGGGAAACAGCCTATAAATTCACATCTGATTCATTCACTTTATTATCCGCTGGTAGACGAGTTCAGTAAGCTTTCTGGAAGCAATATGGTCACAGCGAAAATAGACTGGACTGGTTTGTTGGCGCTCACAGCCCAGAGAGGTGCACTAGCGCGTCGAGTCCGCGGCGCGGCACGACAACCCCCATTGACGACCACACAAAATCTCGAGGAGACTCGACGGCCGGCCAATCGAAATTCCCACCACCTGCTCTTTATTGAGTCATTTAGTGCACACGAGTCTACTAATTACAAGGACAAAGCTTGCCTTTTCCACTTGAGAACGCCCTTTGCCGGTTTTGAGCGGTGAATTGTTAATAACGTCAGCATGTTCATAAGAAAACAGCCGGGGATTCCTACGGGAGCACGATTTGCACGACTTGTCGTTGAGGCTAAATTTGGTAGTTTAGCATAGATTGAAATAAGCTTGCCTGAACGCTTCATTGCAAGGAGGAGCAAACTTTTGTAAAGCTGATTGTGTCTCTTCTGGCGGGAGACGGTCGAAACAATCGCGTTTGCCGCTCGCGCGTGGCGGCGGGCGCGGTGTTTCTTTAATTGCGATAGCCTGTTGATTGGAGCCCTGGATTTCGTGTAACTACCAGGGCACCTCCTACGTTGGGGAAGCTCCAGCGAGGGGGGGGAGGTTGCTATATTTGGTTGCTGGGACGAGGGGATTGTATTTAGTCAGAGAACTTTTTTTTGATAATTGATCTGCTTCGCGCACGCGCGCGCGCTGTTCACGTCGTTGAGAAAACTCTAGTGGAGTGAAGGTCATAGTTGGGGCATTGCGAGCAGAAGAACTACCGTACAACTACTTTTCTTGGTAATTGGAGGTAGTACACTGGTGTGCAAAACTTAGGGACGAGATGGATAAAGTAACATAAAACACTAATGACTGGGTGGAAGTAAATGAAAGTGTGGGAGCATGTTGCCACTCGCCTAAGGGATATGCACAGGAAGCTAGACTTTTCTCGGTGGAAGAAGAGCTTGAATAAAGTGCCAAATATGGCCGACCGCGCAAATCGAGGCAGTCTATGGGTATGAAAATTTTTTTCTCAATCAACGAGTAGCTGCAAAGAACTGTGGTAGTATCCTTCGATACATCATGTCCCGAAGAGAGCATCTGGATGACTTCACTCGAGGAAGGATCATAGGGAAACTCGAAGAAGGTCGAACCATGACGAGTGTAGCCCAGGAGTTCGGTATCGCTCACAGCGTTTCACGTGCATGGAGAGCGTTC